AAGTTTAATTCGGTAATAGAATGAATTAGAGCAAAATGAAACATTCTGTTCTCCAAGAAACACAGCACCCATAGAAAGCTTTTTTTTTTTTTTTTTTTTTTTTGAAGGCTGCACAGAGAAACCAGGATTCATTAAGGAATTGTTTTTATGAATAAAATTGCAACTTGGATCCAACTGAATGCTGAGAGCACTTTTCCTTGGGTTTCTTATCGAGGAGAGAACAGCACTGAAGTGCTTTCCCTATCTTTACTATTCCATAAAAGCAACTGTTTAATTGGAGTGTTCTCCAGTGGGAGTCCTGATTATGCTTTGTTCTGGCGGAGCTCTCTCCCTGCCTGCAGGAGGGAGGTGGCGTTGCCAGTCATTCTGAAGGCACTTGTCCTTCTCATTGAGAAGCAACAAATACCACACACTGCCTTCTTTGAGGTTTCCAAATGGCTGTCCCGGTGTTTAAAAAACAGATACAAACCACTTAAATCCTTTGCTGATGCATCTAGTTGAATGGGTCATAGGTTCTGCCTCCTAGAATTTTTTCTGTTCTGTAGCTTCCAATGCTGGAAATTGATGCCTTTGTAATAGAATTGACTAGGCTCAAATGGAGTGCAGTGGCAAGTGTGGAGCAATTGCCGAAACTGGCTTGTCTGTTGCACAACAGGAATGATCTGGATTACCTGGCTCCGTTTTCTTTGAAATACCAAATGCTACTAACCAGGTAGCTTAACGGGTTTTATTTTTTGAGAGATGTGCATTAATGGAAGGGACAAAGAAATGTCGCTGTAGGGATGCATCTGGGTTTTGCCTGTTTTAATTTTGTGAGTTAATGGATTGATCTTAAGTATGTTAAATATAAAATTATAAAGTAAAGGACAAGTCTCAGCCATTACATACGTATTATGCATGAGGAAATGCTGACCCAAGCTTAGCTACACAGCAGCCATGACAAGACAGGAATTTCTAGGAAGAGCAGATTTCTTGGGAAGACTGTAATCAAACAGTTGAACAGAATTGTACACTGGATCTTCAGTCGTGGTCAGTGTCCTAGCACTCTACTAAAACTGTTTCCATCATCACCTTCCCATTTACTGCGGCAACAGCAGAATATAATGGGGTTTACAAAAACTAAGTAGTGCCTATTCTCTGGGGAGAGTCTATATACATTCCTTAGACTTCCTTTGGCTTCATGAATACATGCATAGACAGGATGTGTAATTATGGTAACACCTACTTTTAAAGTGACTGAATACTTCTTAATGTTTTTCAATTTGCATTTTTAAATCCTAATCAGTGTAAGTGCACACTGTCCCTTTCTCCCCCATGAATTCAAAGGAAGGGGTGTCTACTGAGAAACACTGGTGTTCTCTTGTAGGTACAAGGAAGGTATGCGTTGTGTAAAACAGTAATGTAACCTATTTTTTCATAGTGTCATGCACACTAAACATGAGAGACAGCCATGCATTTTCAAGAATCACAGGTCTGTTTTGGCAAAGCTGGCTTTTTCGAGGTTAAGAGGATTAGTGTTGAATCAAAATAGGCAATTTCTCAGTGCAATATGACAATTCTAATATTCGTTCCCTTGTGAAATTAATATCAAATTGCAGCCACAGCATGTCAGATTTTCCAATTACCTTTTGTGAGAAGAGTTTTCATATATTGGGTTGTGATAACTTTGCCACTGTGCTGTGAGGAGTTTTGTATGGGAAAGATGTTAGGTCTCAGTCAAGAGTTCAAAATTGGAAGTTTACTTTTAGTTTAGTAACATGTAGCTGGGGAGGGAAGATGTGTCAGCCTGCTGAGGACCATTATGAAAAGATACCTGGTGCCCGAGGAAAAGGAGCAGGAAGAAGAGAGAGAGTTCGGTTAGAACAACAGAATATGTAAACACAAACACATTCTCTGGTTGGTTGGTTGGGGGTTGGGTTTTACTGGTCTTTGGGTGTTTTTTGTTGGTTTGGGTTGCGGGTTTTTTTCCATTTAATGAGACATTTGTTCATACTGCAGGTGGCATGGGTGATACTAAACCTAGTCAAACAGGTAAACTTTGAGAATGCCACTTTCTATTTTGGGAAACTTCTCTTGAGCATAGACTGCTGGAACAGCAGTTACCAGTTCAGAATCTTCAGGCTGAAGTCACTGGAAATGGATTTAGTACCTTCCCCACAAATTACAAGTAGATGCCCTTCATTATTCCTTAAGTCTATCTGTAGTAAGGGGTAAGCATGGTCAGCAGCTTCCCCATATGTGAGCCATTAGGCAGAAAACAGAGAGTCTCTTGTTTGAGGCCAGTGTAAGCTTTCAGGTTGGTGGTGACATTTAAGGGCCAGTTCAGGGGGGCTTCCACTGAGCAGCATGGAAAAGGAAGAGTATCCTCCAGGCTCCTTCCAGTTGGCATGTGGTAAAAATCTGAGCACAAATGAACATTTTCCTCAGACTTTTTCAGTGCTAGGAGCAAGACAGGAACCAGTGAATTGAAAGAGCCAGAATGGAGCAGATGTCAGGGGAGGGGGAAGGCACTGAGGGAGCAGGAGGGGGAAGAAATATGAATACAGGCAAATGCACACACTCTAGGGGAGATTTAGAAAGAAAAGGAAAAAAATCATGCCCTTCCCTCCCCACCAAAAAAAACCCACACCAAAAAACCCACACAAACCAAAAAACCCAAATAGGCTGAAGAGTGTGGGGTCATTGGCATTATGTGTCCTTCTCCCAGATGGTAGCCTTTTTAGCACTACAGGAGCTGAGCCCGAGGCTTTTTCCGTTCCCTTCTCTTCTTGTGGGGCAGTTTTGTCTCACACTGCTCTTCCTGCAGGGAATCGAGCAGCCCTGAAAGCTGGGTGAGATCTCGTATGTGCAAGCCGCTCACCCTGAAGTCACTGGGACCAGGGTGCAGTTGGGCCCTATTGAAATTTCAAGTGGTTTTTGTGAGGTTTATTAAAAATACACTTGTCCTTGTGCTTCATTTGCATAAAAATAGCCTGGATTTCTGAAACAATGACTGCTAATGATGTTGTTAGGTATGACGTAGCTTCCCTGTTTAAGCCAAAGAAGGTTTTAAAGGATTTTGGTACTTTGGCGTATTTCTTCCCTCTCATGCTTCTTAGATGTACCACATGCATAGTGGAGCTTCTGAAGAAAAGTGAATTCCTTTGCCTCTAGTGGTGTTTCTGAGATGTGGAAAAAGAAAAGGCTGTTCATTCTGTAGGGACATGATGTAATTAGTACTGTGTGTTCTGCCTTGCTGGATGATTGAAATAGTTACCAAATGCAGTTGAATTATTCCACTTTGCTTTTGCGTCAGTCTGAAAACACTGGGAATCTGGTTACAAAGTGTTAAATGGGCTATTTTTTTGTTGGATTCTGAGAGGTACAGTGTCTCCTTAGTGCCCTCAAGTGATACTTGAATTTGAAAATAAGTAATTAGGCCCAAGTTAACTATTCACTGGGGCTTTCCAGTATGCCCCATCTTCTGTTTTATTTTGAATATTGCAAGGAATACAGTTGTCCTGTTTTGAGCAGTGCTGAATGCATTGATGCTTAGTAACAAGAACCAGTTGTAATTTGATTGGAGAGTGACGTATGTTGGCAAATGTGTCTAAAGAAAGTTGTATTGATTTAATTTTAAAAGAAATTTTTAAGAATCTTGTTGGCCTTATTCACTCCCATGGCAAGTTTCAGACACTTCAAAACAAAACCCACTTGCTGTACTAAACTTGCTGTATTTGACTACTATACAGTAATGATCTGCAGTGTAGTGTCCCTCTGATGTTCTGCACTGTACCATATCATATTTTGTTGTGGTCAGATCTCTTTGATATTACTTCCCCATTCCATGTTGGTCTAAATAGCGGGGGACTTACAACCCTAAAGATCAGGCTGTGTTTCCACTGGCTCCTGTGCTGTGGCATACCGACATGCTGAGTTACTTTAGGAATGAATGTAACGGGATGGCCTGTGCTCTGCATATCCATTTTACATTCTTAGCTAGCAAAAGAATACTTGAATGTGAGAATAATTATCCTACAAGAACCAGCTGCATTTTTATTCTTTTTCTTTCTTTTTCTCAGCCTGCCATGAAGGTTGCATAGTTTAAGCATATTCTCTAAATCTCTTGTAGTATATTAGGAAAGTTCTTAATGAACAAATGAACTGTTACTAAACAGCACTTTCACATGTCTTCATACTTACGTCAGAAGGTCATGCTGATGAAGGGACAGCTGATTTAGAGAAAAGTCTTTCCATTTGAAAATTGTTACTAGACACCTTGATGTATTAGTGCCTGCCCTGCTGTATAGTCTCAGGGAACAGGTTCCAAAGTGATGGTACATGTGAAATGTCAGTGCAAATTAGCTTTCCCTTCGAGCTCCATAAACATAAAATGTAAAACAAATTTTCTAGTGTAACCAAATTACTGAAATAGTTGCAGTAAAAATATTTTATTCCTATTAGACTGCACAAAACCTGTGTTCTCTGGATCTCTTGAGACCCAGATGTGTTTGGGAATGAGTTATACTTATCAGCAGTACTTCTGCTGGGTTCCGAGTGTGGAAGCATATGTTTACAAAATACATGTCTTACTAAGGCACTTCTTTGGTTCCTGTAACATGAAGCTGGAAGATGCATAGTTCTTGTTCATAGAAAACAACATTTTGCCTGTAGAACAAAAATCAGAAGAAAAACATGGGTAATTTCCAGCTGTAACTTTATGTGAATTCTTGTTTGCTTTTGACTGATGTTCCTGTCTGATGAGCCATACATTACAAACTCTTAATGCCCTTTAATGGAGAAGTTTGGCTTGGTACTGTCTTTCAACTCTTTCAGATGGGCCATGCCAGCTCCAAGATCCTGTGTCAGGAGTTTGCTCTGCCTGGTGTTAGGTGTAGCTGGGAAGCAAGCAGAGTAGCCTTTGAGGGGAGAAAAAGTGTTACAGTATAGAAGTTTGCAATTAGTCATCAGCTGTCGCATTTTTAATAGAAAACATAATTTAGCAATTTTTTTAAAATCAGGTGCTCTGTGGATGTGTATAGTCTTAAATCCCCACTGCAAGTTGGAGCAGAAGTCCAGTTGGCTAAAACAGCTGAAAAAATGGAACAGTGTGGATGTTTGTCCCTGGGAAGATGGAAACCATGGAAACGAACTGCCCAATTTAACCAATGCTTTGCCTCAGGGTGCAAATGCTAACCAAGGTGAGCCTAAACATATGCACTGACTGCAACGTATAATATAACCTCTATCTTATACACTCTAGCCTTGCAGAATTCAGAACTCTTTCCTGGAACAAGTAACTTTCTTGTTGAGGATTGACCAGCCAAAATTATTTTCACTAATACTATCCTTGCAGAAGGGATAAATAGGTGGGGGTTTTTGTGCTGGGGCTGCAATGTTTTCACAGCAAGTATTTGCATTTAGTTAGTTCTTCTAACTTTTCACTTGGTGCTTCTAAATACGTGTTGCATGAAGATTGGATGTCCTTGGAAGTATGTCATGTAAAAGCCTGTTGTTTCTATGCTTGACTATATCTTATATTCTTTCTGGTGTTGGGCCTTTCATTTTGTTTGCAGTTAAAAAGCTTTTGATACCTATTTAAAGAGGGATCTATTGCAACTGCATTAAACTTGAGTGTGTGAGCTACCTGTGGGATGTGCTCTGTTTGTGTAGTGTGCATTTCCAGGTGGGGGGGGGCGGGGAGTAGAGGCAATACTGCCTTGGGAGGAGGTGCCTTTTCTTACTCGCAATCAGGCTTTCTAATCTAAAATGCAGTTATCAAATCTGACTTTGTGCAGTCCTCCTCAAGCAAAGATGGCTACTTTGCTAATAACTGGGGAAGGTGCAGGATATTTAGCTGGGAAAAACCCTCATAGTCCTCAAAAACCTCAGTACTTATCAAAGTATTTCATATAATTACTACAAAGTTAAAAATGTGTGCTTGGAAAGTGGCAGGTTTGGACTTAGATGGGTTTTTCCTTCTTTCTTTTTCTTGAAAGATGACCTCTGAAGGAAGTAGATGTGGTTCACTTTTAAATGTCTTAACTAGCCAGGGACAGAAGTTAATTCAGCATATGACTCCCTATAGAGGTGTTTTGCTTTCTGTATCTTGTGGTGTTCAGCCCAACTTGGGCAGTCTAGTGGTAACTCTGACACAGCATCTCAATGATGGTAGACATAGTGCCATGTCAACAGAGTGATTTTGCTGTACGAAGATGTCCAGTAAGGATTATGTCAGTCCCATGGCCTCAGTACCTCACTTTCTTTACAGTATTTGTATGTTTATGACAAAAATTATACAAGTGCTCAAGGTTAAAGTCACTTCTGAAAAATCTTTCGTGCAGTGTTTATCTATCCCTCATCCTGGCAGCTCTGGATCTGAGGAGGAAAGAATCTGGGGAAACTTGAGTAGCTGTATACCATATATTTCTAGTTTGTTTTTATGGGAGTTTGTATATGCTGTTGAGTGTCCTTAATCTCTAGTGTTTCCTCTGCAAAGTCACGTTTACCATCAGCCATGCTGGTTTGTATATCTCTCTGAATGCAAAGTGAATGGCACACACTTTGAGCTGTTGGGTAGCGGTAGGATGTGAAATGTCATCTGCAGGCTGCTCGGCGCAGAGCGGGGCAAGGCAGGCTGCTGTCGGTTGGGGGTGGTGAATAGGCAGAAGACAAGAATACTGTGAATGACTGATTCACATATGAATGAGTAAAGCTGATGCAGCTTTCTAAACTTGTGCAAATGACAGATTCATCGAACAGGCCACATCGGACGGTGTTCACTCGAGCCATTGAGGCATGCGATCTGCACTGGCAGGACAGCCACTTACAGCACATTATCAGCAGTGACCTATACTCCAACTACTGTTACCATGACGACACTGAAAACTTACTCTTTGACTCTCAGGGGTGGCCCCTCTGGCATGGTAAGTGGCTAAACCGGAAAGACGTTTCCATGACTTGCTTCTTTGTTCATTTTCTATGGCATTATTTTTTGGGGGGGGAGCTGGTGGGGAGATGAATGAAAAGCCTGGCAAAAAGAACAGAGGGTCCCTTGAAATGCTGGCTCAGAAGTAGTCCTTTAAGTCTCTCTTGCATAGTTTTTAAAACAACAACAACAAAAAAACCCAAACAGAAAAGCCCTTTTGAGTAACCAAGCAAAACAGACCATTGCAGACATGGAAGCATTGCTATTCTTCAATTATTGTCTCCATTTTAGAACATGTTCCTACAGCCTGTGCGAGGGTGGATGCATTACGATCTCATGGATACCCACGAGAAGCACTGAGACTAGCAATAGCTGTTGTTAATACACTAAGAAAGCAGCAGCAGAAACAGCTGGAAATGTTCCGGGCTCAGAAGAAAGGTAAATGTGGGGAAGAGAGAAGGGCAAAGAACGTGTGAGGTGACAATAACATCAGACTGGAACTTTGCATGGGAAAACCAGTTTTGAAAGTAAAGCAAAAGAAGTGACTTGGTCTCTTGATGGTAGTTGGTAATGTCACATTCTGGATGTCACAGGTTTTGTGTAAGCTGAGTTGCGAGCTGTGCAGGACAAGGGCTCTGTTCTGCCCTCTTCAATGTCTGGTATGATGGGGCCTTTATCCCAGTCATGGTTTTTGGTAACAAGTGAAAATATTCACTGCCTTTAAAACAGAGCTTTGCATTTGGCATGTCAGGTGTTTAATATTTTTTTCATATCTAGTGACATATAATGTAGCTGAACTATATATTTCTGAGTTGGCATTAAGGGTAACAATGAAGCAAAGTGTGCACTTCATCAAATTTGGCAGTTTGATCGAGAAGAGTCTCTTAACAACGCTTAAAATTTTAGTTTTTCAGCAGAGGTGGAGTTTTCTTTTTGAAACTCTGTTTTTCATAAAACCTTTTGTGGTGTTCGTCTGATGAGCACTACCCCTGGGTTTGTTGGGTTTTGGGTTTTTTTCTGAAGGAACATACCCCATCAGGTACAGTTTCTATGCCGTGTGATCCTTCCTACCCAAAATAATCCTGCACTGAACTTTGTTGTTAGTGTGAAGAGTGGAAGAAGGGGGTGGCTTTGTGGTTAAAGAATGCATGTGGAAAGACTGGAATTACTTTCTCTGATGCTACAAGAATCCCTTAATTCAAATTTTATTTTAGATCTTCATTGCTGCTCTTAACTACCTGTGTCATCATGCATTGTACCCAAGGGTTGTTTGTTTTTTTTTTTGAGCACTACTATGGATCCTAGATTTGAACAAAGCCTAAAAGCACTTAGTATTATTACTTAGGAGAATTTGCAAAGTGTTTTTGTCATGTAATGTAACTTTCCTTAACACTTGTTCCCTTAAAAGCTTTGCGGCTTTTCTAGCTTCTCAGACTCGGGGGTAAGACAGTAGGGGCAATGTCAGTGTGTGTGAACGTGTGTCTTCACATACTGGGAGGTGTGAAGGGTCTCCTGCAAGTGTGCTGGTTATAGTACTTCTCCTTTTCGTTGCCAGTTGCTAATGTGGCATCTAGATATTGGGTAGTTCTGTTAAGTTCCTTTCCCTAGGAGCAGTTCTATAGCAGTCAACTACATGCTATTTTAAGTAAAAAACAAAGTGTATGGAATGTGATCCATCCTATCCTGAAACAAAGAAATTTGTTGTTTGTATGTCATCACTGCTTTTTTATTTTATGCCTTTTACGTGTGGAATTTTTCAAAGATGCTCTTTTAATACCACAAAATATGCTGGTCTTTATGAGCAGTTGAATTCTGCAGCTCCAGCCATGCTTTAGGTTAGTTTAGCAAACACCACATGCTTCTACTTAACTTTTATTCATGTGACTGCTCTGACGTCCATGGAACCACTTGCATGATTTTAAAGTTAAAAGTCTGTATGACTGAAGGACTGAAGCCTTTGTTTGGCATGACACAAGTGAAGCTCATAAGTAGGCACAATAGAATAAATAGAACATAAGTGAGTCAGTAAGAAGTCACTGTCATTAATCCTTCTGGTAATATTACTTGCTTCTTTCTATCATCGTTAGTACATGCTATTTGCTAGCAAGACAGTGATTTACTTGTTTGCTTTTCCTATTACGTATTAGTGAATTCTTTAAAAAAGCCCACCCTCTTGACAGTATAGCTGTGTTTCATTTAGTACCCCCACACATTTAAATAGGCAAGAAGCAGATTTTAGAATCTCTGTGATAATGGTTACTCAGAAAGATGGCACTTCATGAACAAGAGAGAGTGAAGGCAGGTACAAGTTAATGCGTAACAGGCAGAGAAACAAAGCATCTGTAACATCTCTCATGTAGTTTTTTAATGGTCACCCGTAATGTGTTTCCTGAATCACAGCTCAGTCTTGTGTCTAGGAGGAAAAAAGCTGGGAGCTGTGGTCAAAGGGGAGCTGCTGCCGTAAGACTCTTAGTAAAAAAAGGGATTTGGGGGCTCTCTTGACATCTGTTACCGCAACCACACTTCCTTCAATTCACTGTGATAAACAATTTTTTCATGTTCTAACCGAATGATTAGTCGGGGCTGCAAGACAAAGTATCTGTGAGGGGGGCTGCTGACTGGAAATTTAGAATGACAAACAATGCACTTGATCCACTTAAAGGATGATTTTTTTCTTTTATACCTAATTTAAACATTCTTTTTTTTTTTTGTTTCTTTCTTTTTAACAAAGCTATCATCATGACTTTATTACTTCAATAAATATTTAGATGCACGATAAGTTTAAATTTTATTTATGAAATTGGGACATGTTTTAGAATAGGTTCATTTATTTCAGTGTTATCGAGTTAACTTAAAATGTGAGAATTGTACTGTGTCTTTTGAGTGAGGAAATTGTTGTGAATGTTTTACAAAAAAAGTCTTTGTAGTATTTCAGCAAACACTTTCAGAAGAGCTACTGGTATCAAATAAGAGATTTCGAAAGACATTGCATTTGAAAATTTTGGCCCGTAATGCACTTTGCTAGTGCTCAAAATGTCTGGCCTTTGTTCTTTTGCTTTTCCTCTTTTAACATATTCACAAAGGGCAATGAATTCACCCTCAAAACCACTATTTTCTCCTTTTAAGCAGAAGCTACTAGAAATACTTTGAATTCTGTACCAAGAGCATTTTAATCAGTTCTACTTTTAAAATTGTTTTGAGGGGCTAACATTGTTTTCTTTCTCTCCCTCCTTGCTCCATCTTTTCTGTCACAGAACTTCTCCACAGAGGAGTAACGTCAATAACAAATCTTGAAGGTTGGGTGGGACACCCTTTGGACCCCATTGGCACTCTCTTCAGTAGCCTGATGGAAGCCTGCAGGGTGGATGATGAGAGCTTCCATGGATTCTCAGACTTCACTGGTAAGTCCAAGCGTATCTCCTGTATGTCTTCATTTACTGGAGGCATTTTTTTTGTCTTGCCTTTCTGACTCGGTGCCAAAACTACTGTTACTATAGTATAAGAACTCACATTTGCATTCCTTAAGAAAACACAAAGGAGGGAAAATGTTTATAAAGGCACTTAAAGAATTAACAGCTACTCATTCTTGAAGACAATGCCATCTTTCACCCTTGAAATAAAACAGGTAAGACATCACTGCAGCAGCTCTCTCCACGTACCTTGCTCTGTCTTCTGTGTCTGAGAGACTGCAGGAATCACAGAATTGTTGAGGTTGAAAGGCACCTCTGGAGATCATCTAGTTCACTTGCTATGCTCAGAGCAGCATTACCCAGAGCAGATTTCCCAGGACTGTGTCCAGTATGGTTTTTAATAACTCCAAGAATGAACACTGTTCAAACTCTGTGGGCAACCTCTTACAGTGTTCAACCACCCTCACAGTGAAAAAGGTATTTTCTTATGCTTGGATGGAGTTTCCCGTATTTCAGTTTGTGCCCGTTGCCTATTGTCCTGTCACAGGATACCACTGAGAAGAGTCTGGCACTGTCTTGTTTTACGTTGTCCCATCAGATACTTATACATTTTGGTAAGATCTCCCCGGCTTTCTCTTTTCCAGGCTAAGTAATCCCACTTTTCTCACTCTCATTGTATGAGAGATGCTGCAGTCCTTTAGTCATTTTTGTGGCCCCTTGCTGGATCTGCTCCAGTATGTCCATATGCTGAGGAGCCTGCAACTGGACACAGCACTCCAGGTGTGGGCTCGGTAGTGCTGAGGACAGGGGATCACCTCCCTCAACCTGCTGGCAGCCCTCTGCTAATGCAGCCCGGGATGTTGCTGGACTTCTTAGCTACGAGTGTACATAATGCTTCAAATTGATGACAAACACTTATAATTGATCACATGCATGATCTGTAAGTGATATGAATTGCAAAGTAGTTTTGCAGTATTGATATATGATTTAGGATAGGATGTGTACGCCTATTTTAATTTCAGTATTTACTTCCCAGGAGCTTAACTGATTAATTCTTTGTTCTCAGTTTTTTCACCTCTACAGTAGCTTCTTATCACCGCCTCTGTGGACAGAAACTGGATTCATCCTTCTACCTGCATCTTTTTTATATGCATATCTGCAATCTTCTTGGGGCTTTGACTCAAAACTATTTTCATTCAATTAGATTTTCTTCAATAAATTTCTAATCCCATATCCATCCTTTCAGGAAGAACTTTTAATTAAAAAAGAAATTAGAAATCAGGTTCCTTGCAATTACAAAAAACCCACATAACCCCATGAAATAAAACCAGCGTGTGTTGAAAAGTAACTTCCTCCTATACATGCATATACAATCTACCAGATGAATTCAGCCTTCCCATTTGCTGCAGCTGTCAGTCTCCTCATAACTGTCCATTTTAACTTTTTGTTCCCAACTTAGACTGTGAACTGCTACACGCTGGAATAGCATTTTGTTATATGGTGTGTCTGTGAAGTGCCAGATGAATCAGTAGTACTCTTTAAAGCAATCTGTGGCTTGGTCTGTGTGGAATTTACATAAAATCTTTACTAAAAGTAGGACTTCTAGTGTTAATAAACATTTTTATCATAAATACAACTGTAACAAGTAATAAAAAGCTTGAATAGAGCTCTAGCAAACAGAGGATGCTTTAAACTTGTGGAGTTCCCTGATCTATTGTATTTGCACAATAGTAGTAGCTTCAACTAAAATCTATGCAGGTATATAAGCACCTTTTCCTCTTACACATCAAGGCTTGAAGGAGATAAATGGGTGGATTGTCCAATTTTGGCCTCATTAATACAAAGCTGGAGAAACTGCCTTTCTCTAAATCGTGCCATTTAAAAATGAAACGTATAGTTTTACTTGAGTGGGTTATTTAAAATCTAATTGTTCTGTGTATTTCTGCCATGTAAATTTGGGTGGGATGTTTTAAATTGGATCACTGGATTTTGAGATTGCACTAGTAATTTAAATCATTAAAAACTAATCATACTAACAAAGGAAGCATTTGTATATGTGGCCTTATGGGCAGATTATGGGTTGGAATGATTTGCTGATGTGGTTTTTTTTCTGTGTCACCCCTTACAGACAACATGGGGCAATGCAGATCTCTGGAGTACCACCACCTGCCGACACACAAGTTTTTTGAAGAAGGGGAATCTTATTTGACACTGGCTGTGGAAGTAGCATTAATAGGTCTGGGACAGCAACGAATAATGCCAGATGGCTTGTATGCACAAGAGAAGGTTTGTCGAAATGAGGAGCAGCTCATTTCTAAGCTACAGGAAATTGAATTGGATGATACTCTGGTGAAGATTTTTCGAAAGCAAGCAGTCTTCCTATTAGAAGGTAGCTCAATATAGATGCTAACTGCTTCTTTAAACTGTCTTCACTTACACAAGCACACAGCTGGTATTTCCGTGGAAACAGCCTTATATACTAAGATGTTTTTTTGACACACAACTCCAGCAAAATTTTGTTTCCAATCTCTTACAAAAACCAAACATTCTTCAGGTATCACATGGCTGTGAAGATTAGGTATCTGTTGACTTCTAAGACTTTTGTTACATGTCATAACTCAGTATTGTGATTATACAACACAGGCTCACAGTCAAATACAGACATCAGTTATCAGTAGTTCTCAGATAGCAAAATTCTAAGTGTTTCTTGTATCATGAAAAAGGGACTGGCAGCTTTCTAAATATGTGAAGACCTGTACTTCTGTTCCCAAGTGAAAAGCTCAGAAAATTCTTAAGATTGCTGGGACAGAAATGTAAAATTTTATTTGTGGCAATTAGGAAAATTAGTTGCCTTTGAAGTTTGTATCATACAACTGCTATGCAGTCAAATATTGAGGCTTAATGCCTGGTCTAGTGACTGAGTTTTGACTAAGACAAACAATTTGCATTTGGGAAGTAGCCAATGTGTTCCAATAAAATTTATACAGAAAAGTCCATACTTTTGACTTAGCTTTTTTAAAAAGGTGTGTAGCACTTCGACCTCGTGCTCAGAGAGTAATCTCAGGGTTCTGACATTGTCTTTCTGGTTTGGAGGTTTTAAATGCAAGAAAAACTTCAGAGGAACCAGTTATCCAAAGGCAGGGTCCAAGTTTTGAGTGCTTGCTCAAGGGATCCTGAGGAGTGTGTTACTGCTCTAAGTAAGTTACGAAGACTACTACACAGCACTCAGGTTTTGCATCCTTTTTGTAAGACATTTGTCTTTTAAAACTTCCTCTTTAATGGAAGATGAGGGTGCCATTTGAAACTGCCTAGAAGCTGCACCATGGGGAGAGTATCCATTGTGGTGTGGCTCTGCTGCTGCTTTTATAGCCTTTGGACAAGAACAGCTGCTTGCTGGATGCAGCTAGCAGCCACCATACACGGATTGTATGGGTTATAAAATCAATTTACTGCATCTATTTGCTGGTAAGGATGCTTTATGAGGAAAAGGCAGGATTTCTCCAAAGTATTCTCTGATAATTCTAGTTTACTACTTTGATCACTGAAATTCTTTTAATGTTTTCTTAGAGCAGTAAATAAGTGAGCATAGCAGGAACTCTGCTAATATGACTATCTACAAAATTGCTATGGTGAGCAGTATGCAATGATGGTCTTGTACTACAGTGTGCTGAGAAATCTGGGTTTCATCAATGGCAGAGGGATTGGAACTATGTGATCTTAAGGTCCTTTCCAATCCTAACTATTCTATGATTCTGTACTCCAGGTTAGGCAGAAACTGCCAGCTCACATGGAGGAAAAACTGTGCAGTGATTTAATATGCTAATCATATCAATTGCATTTTTATAGTTAGTCCTATAGATATAATAAAGAAAGCTTAATCCAATATTAAGCTGATTTCTATGCTGTTAATGCAGATTAATGCATGCTGTATGTAGCTACCATTTGAATGCGTGGGAAAGCAGAATGTAAGACTGTTTTCCAAGAACTGTTCTAATTTTTTGCTTGACTGCTAAGTTAATGGTGGAATATATTTTCATATAAATGCTTTGTCATGTATTCTTTGTGTCCTAATTGAGTTCTGATTGGACCACCAACTGGCAAGCATACATGAAATGGCTTCTTTCATTGAAGCAATGCCAGCCAGCTTTGAATGGCTTTCAACTTCATTTTAAATGATTGAGATACACTGTCACCTGCTAAATCTTCATTGACGTTTCTTTTTAATCCGCCTCAGTCTTCATAAATGCCCAGCTATGGAGCTCAGAATTTTTTCATGCCTAGTGATTTTTATCTTTGCATGTTGTGCTACGGCACTAGTCAGAAAAACTTTGATGAAACACCTTGGCTGTTTCTCTTTGTCTGCTTCAGTGCAGTGTTGGCCATGTTAGTCTGAACTGCTTTGGGAGCAATTTAAATGACACGTGACTCTGCAGCAAAGAAGTGTGCTCACTAGGTCATCCATCCATCCGTCCATCCAAGTGTGGTGGGTCAGAGTCTCTAGTAGAAGTAGTAGTAACTTCTAGGGTTACTGGCTGCTATCTGTGCAGTAATAGTTCAATAATACTTAATATAAGATTCTTATTCTGTATCTCACAACATCTAGTGCCTGAACCTCTAGTTGCTGAAGTCAAAAGCTGACATTGTGTTCCTATTAATGGGAATAAAAGTCTTAAGGTTGCAGGAAAACTGTAGAAATGGGGTTCATATGCAACATGAACATTCAGAACTTGGCAAGGAAATAGTTGCATTTAAAGTTTTTGTTGTCAGTCTTGATGCTGCTGCTACAAAGTTGGAATACTGCACTGGTTGCGCTGAGTGTGAGCAAAATCCATTGCTCCAACAATGGGTATAGTTTTCCTACAACAAATACAATTTTTAAGATCATGTGGCTATAATGGACCTACAAAACCAGTTTTGGTGCAAGATCTGACCTATTCTTCTCTGGAGATGAAGTCCAGACTAAAGGGTTATTTAAATGCCTAATGTCAGGTGAGACATGAATAGGGATTAGGTGCTCCTGTGGTGATTGGTCATGTAACTTCAATTAAAAATACACTTTTAATTCACTGAAACCACTCTTCGGGTATTTTTTTTTTTTTTTCTGGTGAGTTTCTGATAAAGCAGTTATGCATCAACAGGGTGCATAGGGATTCATGTGCACAATGTAGCTGTGTGGAGGCAAGTCTAGGGTTATCACTTTCTCCTTCTGCATACCATAGGCTTGCTGAATGAGCCGCATGGAGCACTGGAATCATTCTGTTGTTTGTATGCACACTGGTAGTCTACTTAGTACTATACAATTTGCGGTCTGTCTTGTCTCAGAGATTATGGTATTTAATATACTTGTAATCACTGTATATATGTGATATATTTGTAATATATTTCACAGAAATAGCAATATAACTTTACATTTTGTCCAGCAAACTCTGCTCTGAATACCCATTGTAAATGAAGGTATAGTGAATATTTTTAAAGGTCTATAAGTTGGTTTTAACAGTATGTAAAGGTGGACATTCTCTTTGTGTTTCCTGCAGCTGGACCATATAGTGGTTTAGGTGAAGTCATCCATCGAGAGAGCGTTCCAATGCACACATTTGCCAAGTATCTCTTCACCTCGCTCCTACCTCATGATGCTGAATTGGCATACAAAACTGCACTGAGAGCCATGCGGTATGTATTCACAAGTCATCTAGAAGGAGCACAAGTAGCAGTAGCAGTTGGGAAAGGGAAAAAGGCTTGTTAATCAAGACATAGTCTTTTTTTCTAAAAGAAGCATGCTTCCCTTTAAGGAGAAATTCTTTTGGTTGTCATCTGTAAAAGCAATCGGTGTCTCTAGTAACTACAGTATAATCATTACAAATGTACAATTAGTGCTTATCTACAACCATAAAAAATCATTCTTTGTTACAAATCCTTCTAGAATCCCACTCTTGGGGCACATGGGTTTGTGTTAAACAATGGCAGCTTTAGCATGTGTGTTCTCTCACCCATGCAGTTGTGTATGTATGTGTGATGGTACTGGCAAGGAAATGAGAAAGAGGCGCTGCAGCAGCAGTCTCAGAATCATCTGCTGCTTAGCCGGTTCGGTAGGACTATTTGTTCCACTGGTGCTCTTTGCAGATTAACCCTCAATGATAGATTTGGAACCATAGCATGGGGTCTGAGCCAGTATTCTTTTCTTGTGTTTCGTAATGAAGCAGTCTTGTCCACATCTAGGTGAATGTTGGGGTTTAAATAGAGTGTGTCATCTGACAATAAAATGTCTGATTTGCATTCTATATATCTTCACTAATCAGGAAAAAGATGATTCTGAGGGAGCGCTCAGTGTGTGCTGGCTTTATCTTAAGGCAGGCCAGATTGGTAACGGTGGCTAAGAAAATTTTCTAAAGGAAATTTCAAGAGCCTTGATGGTCAGCAATAAATCTATTGTCCATCTACAGTGCAGGGAAGAAACTGTTCCTGCCTGAATCATGTGGTCACTGTCAGAAACCGCGTAGCTGATGGTTGACAAAGAATATCCACAACTGAACACTCAGAGCAATCAAGTTCCAGATTAAAGAGGGGGGAAAAAAAAAAGTGTTGGATTTTCCTGGTCATTATTTTCAAGAATGATTGCACAGTGATTGAAGGACACACTATCCACATAAGTAGTATTTAGCTTTGTCAGACAAGTTGTGTCTTAATGGTTTGAAGGTGTGTATTCTGGAGCTAGTTTCTCAAAAAAAAAAAAAATTCTGTGATCAAAGGACTAAACAGGAGGGAATGCATAATAACAAAACATAGCTACTGTCAGGTCAGGCTAAAAGTCTGCTTAGCCTGTCTTTTTATGCCTCCAAGAGTGTCTAGTAACGGATGTTAAGGAAGAAATCTGAGAACTATGAAGAGTGACCTTATGTACTTGTTGCTTATGATGAGCGTTTTAGGAAATAGATTGAGAAGACACAATGCATTATTGATGAACTATTGAAAACATTCAAATGTATGATCAGTAAGCTGTCTGGGCCATCACCTCTTTATTTTATCACAAGTTAAGTGCATTAATAATCCTGATCACATCAGATCAGTAAAATAGTACAAAATGTGGTGAGGGGGCTTTTGGTTGGTTGGGTTTTGGGGTTTCTTTTTTTGTTGGTTGTTTTGTGGGTTTTATTTTTAGATGAAAAGGTCAGTTTTAAGAAGGAGACTGTGCCCTTCTATTTATTTTCAGTTGCTACCTTAAAGTGTTCCTCAGAGGTTGTTTGCGTGGAGTTGTCCTCCTTAAACTACTGAAACTGTGATGCTGAAAGTAGGTTTCATGCTGGAGTAGGCATCCATCAGCAGCTTTGCACAGTGCACTGAACACTTCAGTGAATATGACAGCAGCATGCCGTTCCTTTTGAACAAGGAATAATAAAGCTTTCCCCAGGAACCAGTCTTAACTGAAAACTTCTTTTCTGGAAGTTTTCTTTCTCAACTGGTAAAACAAGCAAGAAACTGAAAAATCCAAATGATGAAATCTCTGATTAGTCCTGGGCAGTTCCAGCAATCTTTTGGTATGAAGCTGTCATCTCAGGCAATAAAGTTACTTTTCAAACAGACCACTGTAAGAAAGAGTTGTCTGTTTCCATCTGTTTCCATCATGTAAAGTTACAGGAGACATCATAATTGGTGCTGTTCTCCAAGCCCTTTTGTCATCACTTAATAAGCCTGATGAGAGTTCAGTACTAGACAATAATCAGTCCTTCTGTATTTTGATATTTGGTGCTTTTCAGAAATGTGGATTGCTGTCTTGAACGGTGGTGATGCCAGATTTAGAAATCTTCTATATTTGTCTGCATTCCTTAGCACTTTTCAAATTCTACTAGAGAAGGTTGATTTCTCTTTTCATTTGCACCAAAGTGATAGTTCGGTGTATAAAGGAGTCCAAATACAAACCAAATGAAGAAGTAACTTAATATGACCTTGAGGGGGGGAAGAAAAAAGCAGACATGAAGATTGAGTGTCTGTCTCATGGCTGTGAGGCTGAATGGGTCAGAAGAGAAAAACTCAAGCATCTTTCTTCCATGGCAGCAAAGAAACAGCAAAAATCTCATGTGGAATTTAGTATAGGTGCTGCATAGAAATTTGTGCGGTTGCTCACACTTTTGGAAGTGGAGCATATTTCTTTCTTCACTTCAACAGTTATTAAAGAAGTTAACTTCCCAAGACCCTCGCTGGTTGCTTTCCAGACCTGCGTTTAGTGTCAGTCTACACGGGTCGATGACCCATGATGGCAGCACTGTAGTATTTTACTTCTCTGTATTCAAAAATCATCTGTTGCTGTTCTGTTTTTTGAATCCTGTTTTAGTGTGTGGAACACTCAGTGTGAAATCAGTGAAAGCTGAGAACATAAAGCTTTTTGTGCATACGCCTCAGGTCTGCAAGGGTAGGGCTGTGCTATCCTTGATGGTCACTTCTGTCTGCAGTTCTCTGCTTGCAGCACTGAAACATATGAAGCAGAGTCTTGAAAAATGTGGATCTGCAGTGACCTAGTTGACTGCTCACTTGGAATCTGAACTTGAATGTTCGGCTTAGTTTGGCCGATACCTTGTTAAGCCTGAATTTCACCCAGGCTTTGGGAGCCAGACTTTAATAGTGATGTTTAATCACAAGGTAGCTTTGCTAAAACCTAGCTAAATAATTGATGTTTGAAAGGGGGGGGAGGGAGGAAGTGAGGAATGCTAAATCTGCTGTACTTGTTCTGATGTTCCCTAATCTTGCCAAAACTGCATGAAAGCCACCAATTCACAACAGCGTTTCTTTTCACAGCAAAAGAACATAAAAGCTGGCAATGAAATTCAAAGTGACAAAAGATTTCCCCAAAACAGCCTCTTTCTTTCATGCTTTTAGTCTATTTACTGTTACTCATAACCTAATAATCCCTTTTTGCATTAGGTAGTGGGATTTTTACTGTTTATTGAAACCATTTAATAGTGCATCTCTTCCCCCAGTGTCTTCCTCTGCTTGGAAAAAAAATCAGCTGAAGAGTTGATCTGTATTTTATTTTTATGTATATAAAGCTATATAAAGAAGTGTCTCAGTGGTACTAGAGATTTGACTCAATACAAATTGAAAGGAGAGTCTCTTTTCTTATATTAGCATGCATATACATGTGTCTGAAAATGTTTATATAACCTGCTGATAGTTATTTGCATGGCGTATTTTATTTATATGTGCCTGCTAGATATTGTCCCATATATTTAACTTCACCTTTCTCAGGGAATTCTTAAAGATATTCTCATATGCTTCAGGAACCTACAGAAAACTGACGGAACTTAAAAATACCTTACTCAGAAGAAAAGACTCGCATTCCCGTTACTTAGAGAACTTAGATATTCATTTGAGCGCAAGCAATTGTAACTTACATTTAAATGAGCCTATTCCATAAGAAATATTCTATCATGGAAAGTCACAATGCATTGGATCTTCAATATTCAGTACTTACAATTTTATTGACAGAAGAGATCCAATTTCCTTTGTCCTCCCAGGTGACATCCTGCTAGAAAATCACTTGCACATGAAAGCTGGTAGAAACAGAACTCAGATGTTAACTGATCAAGAAGCTGAGCACTGGAAAGGCTTTTCTTCTGGATGTTGCCATATTACTTCCATTTGATGTCTCATTAACCATTTATATTTTGAAATTATGCTGAATTGTATTGAATAAAAATGCCTATTTTTGTTCATTCTTGCTTTTTTGCATTGGCATTTATATAGTATCTAGTATACTGGCTGTATCTAGTGTATTGTAACATTGAGTCTCTGTTGTGGGCTGTCACTTGTGTTGCAGTAGTCAAGAGCAAACACACTGATTTTAATTTTCTAAGTGTGGGTTCTCCTTGGTAGATAAGACTGTTGTAGTCACACGTACTCAAAGAAATTTTTTCTTCAGGATTAGGAAATAGAGTCTGAAAAGTAACTTCAGAGGAAACTTTATCATTGCTGTTTGGGACCCTAACATCAGATTGTGGTGCATTATAACAAGTTGGTAGGCTGAAGTTTAAGGATTTCAAAAAGTAGTCTTAGTCAAACTGTAAAATGCCCTTTTTGAACATAAATTCCCGTCTGAATTTATTGCAAAGTGAAAATCCAAATGACTTCTTGAATATTCCTCTCCCTTACTTTGAAGAAAAGATGTTCCAAATACTGAAAAATATTCACATGTTCTCAGTATAGTGGAGAACTACTTTACCTTCCTTCTTAAGGGCTGTGCTTCAGTGACAAAAGAAGGCAGGGAGAAAAGCTTCAGCTGTATGCATGATGCAGAAAATCTCTGCTGCCTTGGCTGATAGGTGACTTAATTGTCCTGTGAATTGCTGCATATACCCACTGATGTAGGCAGGTTTGGCAAATGGACTTCTAAGATTCCCCAAGAAGAGGTTTACCAGTCTTTTTTTTATTTCACTGTTTTTTAATAACCAAAAAGGCCCATTTTGTAAACAAAGTTAAGTGTCATTGAAGCTTTAGTTTTGCTCATGAATAACCTAATGTAATAATGATTTAATAAAAGAGGATTTCTTCCTTATTTCAGGTTGTTAGTATTGGAATCTACAGCTCCTTCGGGAGACATGTCCCGCCCACACCATATTGCATCAGTTGTTCCAAACCGGTATCCCCGCTGGTTCACCCTAAGTCACATTGAATCCCAGCAGTGTGAACTGGCATCAACCATGCTAACAGCAGCCAAAGGTACATTGCTGTCAGTTACGTACTCAACTAACTGTGTGCTTTTAATATTGCATGGAGTAAACAGATCATAAAACTTGTGGTTTAGGAATCCAAATTGCAGTCTGACAGGAACTTGAAATGGGTGCAACAAACTGAACTGGCTTAAACTTGCCATTTAATTTTCTAGCAAAGTAGATTTAAGCTGGCTAGGTGGCAGCCAAATGACCTTGATTTGAGGTTGATGAGACAGCTTTTTGTTCTTCTCATATATGACATAGACAGCGAGACCCAAGAGCGGACAAATCACTTCTAAAATTCACAAATCAGAATGACTTTTGGCCATGTACTGCACTAACATCATCAAGCACTGGGGGAGTTTGTGCTGTCTTGTATCTTTTGTTCACATGTGATTTACATGTGGAAGGTTTCTAAAAACAAAACATGTATAACTGAAACATCATACTATTGCATAGCAACAACAGGCTCAATTACAATGCATCTCTGGACGTTTTGGGAGCTTGTTCCAATTTGGTGACACTGTTTATGCCTTGCAGGTGATGTTCGGAGACTGGAAACAGTGTTAGAATCCATCCAGAAAAATATCCACTCCTCATCACACATCTTCAAACTTGCCCAGGATGCGTTTAAAATAGCAACACTCATGGACAGCTTGCCAGACATCACTCTTCTAAAAGTTTCTCTGGAGCTGGGCCTTCAGGTATTTCCCTCATTTGTTATTATTACAGTAGAAGAAAGGAATTTGACCCACTGTTGGTGGGTATAGCTTTAAAGCACAGAGGACCATACCCTCTTTGGGATTTGTCTGGTGTTTTTAGATTCCATTTTCTGTAACAAAGCTCAATAATGTGGTAAACACAGACCAAAGGTGTGCACAGCCCCTTTGTGCTGTTCAGGTGGGAAAGCTGGAGCAGCTGGCTGCAGGGCAGTCTTCTGTTCAGGGGTGAGAGGGGACCAGTGCAACGGGTTCAAGAGTATATGACTGGGTAGAAAGCAAAATTACTCTGTTTGCCAGAAATGCACTATATTTTCTGCGTGGCCTCGAGGAGTTTCTTACTATTCATTCCTTTCCTTTCCCCTGAATGAGATTTGGTAGGTGCTTGTTGAATTACTAGAGAATGCCAAGGTCAACCAAAATGACCTGTTTCTAAGGCAGGCAGTGCTAACATCAGCTCTCTCACTTCTTCATCAAAATCCGATACTTCACAAGCTGTGGGATGATCAGATGCATCAGACTGAGCTTGAGGTGTGCAGTTTTCAGGCTCTTAGGAGGGGCTTTGCAAGTTAAAAGGAGACAGCTAAGTTTCAAGTATCTAGCATAATATTGTCTGACATGGATCAATCTTGGAGTTTAAACAGTTCGTATCAACAAAAATAAATCTCTTCAGCCTTCTTCATGGACTTCATAAAAAGAAAAAAAAGTGATTTTCAGATCTTTGATTTTTATTACTTTGCTTCAGTAAACAAAGCTTCAAAGACTTCTGGCGAGAAGATGTTATCCCACTTGCTCCTCATGCCAAAGAAAAGTACTAATTGCCTATTTAGACATTCAGAAGCTGAAGTCTTTAATCACAGAGCTGAGATTCTGTAAGCTTTGTTAGCCTTTCATATTCCTAAGGTTGCTGTGGAGATCTGGTGTGTGTAAATATGTATCTTTTTTTTTTTCTTTTCATATCTTGGCATGGTTTCTGCCTGAAATGTTTGTTTATTTGAGAGGTACAGAGAAAGATCCTTATGATTGACCTGTGTGTCACCTCAAGCATTCACCAAACATCTTTCAGTGGCAGCACCACACTTTGGGTATCGTTGTATTCATGGATACTCCTTTGTGGCTGATGCTATCATCAGAATGTCTTCGGTGAGATCTAGTGAAAGAAAGAAATACCATAAGCCCATACTTTCTCCTCCGTCTCAGGGTCTGGAACAAACTGGTGTAGAACTTGTCCACTATTGTGTCCCAAGCTTATGAAGGTGCTTTAATAATCTTAAAGGTAGTTTGCTTTCCAGAAGGAAGATGCATAGCAGTTTTTTGGTAGTAACTCACAGCTGTGTAGATTTCTGCAGTGACACTTCTTCTGCAAAACCTTGGTGTCAGCACTGTCTTGTAGTCTATAGATGCTTCCCCCTTCCTGCCCCCCTCCCTGACTTCATGGCAATTAGATTGTCTGTATTCACTATCTAGTATCTGACTAGTTACACATTTATGTGCTCTAGGAAACTATCCCCTCATGTGGTAACCTAAACAGTAGTGTTCTCGCAGATACATGGTCCCGTCACAGCCAGAGCAATGACAAGTTGGCCTGGTTGGGTTGAGAGGATGATACCAACAATTTCACAACCCTGTCACTCTGATCTCTATGACAGAAAAGCCTCTTACGTTGTTCTAGATTTGGGAGTGCTCCTAGGTTCTTTCTCACTATTTCCAGTGGCAGCATATCTGTGATTCAGCAGGGGGGA